CGCATTCCTAAACTGGACAATGCGGCTTTGATCAACGTTAGTGCGGTTCTTATCCCTTGCCCGGTAAATTTGGTTGAAGTCTCCCGTGACCAGCGATAAGGAACCCAGTGGTGGTATTTCGGAGACGAGCTCGACGAAGAAAGCATCCTTGAGGTTGCCTCTAGTCAGACCATAGATGGTCGTGAGCTTGAAGGAGGTGGTGTTATGGTTCTGTGAACGCAAGGAAACAATGGTCAAGAGGGTAAAAGACCCAAATAGCACAATGGAGAGTTGAACCGCTTCATCATCCTGCAGTAGGAGGATACCACCACGGGTCCTGGCATTGGGAAGTCAAAGTATCTCTACTTTGACCAAACTTATAAAAAAGTAGCAATACTCACAATGCCAAAACAATATTTTTGGGTTCATTATGAAATGTTGTTTCATACTCCCTCCGTTCCAAAACAAGTGTCTTGAGCTTAGTACAAATTTGTACTAGAGCTGGTACAAAGTTGAGACATTTATTTTGGGACGGAGAGAGTAGTATATAACTATATATATTTGGTATTGTAGATGTTGATATTTTTAGTATAAATGTGGTAAAATTTTACAAAGTTTGACTGGACACTAATCTAATACGCAGAGTAAAAAGGACCGGAAGGAGTACTAAAGTTATATAGTGAAAATTAAGTCCGTGATGCATCTAATGATATTGATTTTATATTCTGAGTGTTAGTGTTTTTCTATAAAGTTGGTCAAACATATACCACGTGTGAGCAATTCAAACTATTTGTAAAAAAAAGAATGGTCAAACATATGAAGTTTGACTTGAGAATTATTCGTATTTACAGACTAAAAGAAATGGAGGGAGCATAATCTCTAGTGGTATACTGGTGCTGGATCTGAAGCGTGCCTTGGTGAGGAAAACATATTCTCGTCGCTGTCTCCTGTCTGGGATGGAGGGGGCTCGTAGTAGGGTAGGCCACAGTACACACACCGTAGACCGCAGAGTACTGCACTGTACAGTAGAGTACCGGGGTGTGTGGGTGGGGGCACAGCTGCAACGGTCGTCTGGTACTGTACAGTAGAGTACCGGAGTAGGAGTGACAGTATACCAGGAGGGAAGAAGGATCCAGACCCAGAGCTGCAGTAAC